TCAGGCCTGTACGGGATACCGGTGCAGTGCTCTACCATCCTTGCTAAGGACGCTTTTACAATCAAACACGCTTTCACGGACTAACAGTTGATCAAGACTGAAAATCAATGATAATGGTAAGTACATCTCTTTTTAAAAAATTGTGTAAGCTTACTCTTACTCGTGTGGAGGTTACAAACACTCTAGCCCCAGCTGTTCTTATTTGAGCATCTCTTCACCATGTACGAAAAGTGTGGTTTGGAACATTCTCAACAAGAGAGATGAAAACGTCAGGGTTACTTTGAAATCGTGGATAAGCGTTAATCAATACTAGTTTATATATAACAGATATAATTTGTACTATTTAGTATAAAAATTATCTGAATGCAATACATGCTACAACCTGAGGAACTCCGCATAAATCATTTCAAAAATAGTCTTAATTATAGTGGCGCCACACTGTGGAATAGCCTTCCTTGCAAGGCTAGGTACGCGGAATCCCTCGGGTCGTTCAAACGTGCAATTAGCAAAGCTCTCTAAAGCATGACGTTCATAGTTATAGTTCTAGTTTGATTTTTCTGTAAAAAGCTGATGAATTGTCCGTGGATGGATCAAGTTTATTGATTGATAGATTAATTGATTAATACAACACCAATCGTTCGTTCATGATCAAAAAATGGGCTGTCGTTTTTCTTATTCCCGTTTGATATCGATCCTGGATTCTTTAAGATTTTCGCACGACTCATGATTTCTTTATTAGTTTAGACGTGCAATGTCGCTACATAAAAGCTTATAACATAAGGGTTGTTAACAATATCTACGTTTTTGGGTAGAATCCTTGTTTCTAGCTCACTGAAAAAGCAGCGACTTTAATGGGGTTAGAAGAAGACAAACTGTCTAAACAGATAGAAAGCTGAGAAAATTCAGGCCTTGTAATGGGATTTATTTCCCCCTTTTTGCTTTGTATTGAGTTTGCATGAAAAATGAGCACCTCATTGTTTTTTTTGGAAAGCAAAGAAGTCAAACCACAAGGGACTAAAACTAATTGAAGTCGAAAATACTTTTCGTTTACTTACTTAAGTACCACTCTCGCTAAGAGCGGTCCTCTCGACTTCCCGTCGGAAAAAAGTTTTCTTTTATTTTTTGCCCATGAAAAGGGTTTAGGACACATGTTTCAAAAATAGTTTAAGTGTTCTCCGATTCTCTTTTTGCGTCACCAAAAGCCAAAAATGATTTTTGGCCAGATCACCCCTGTGAACAGCGATCGAAAGTGTAAATTTCAGAGATTTTATCCAGCGCGCAGCGACTGCAACAATGCAGCTCACGGAATTCTATCTTGCTACATGTTACAAGGTGTATTCAGTTAGTTCACAGACAAAATATGGAAACTTCAGCTGAAATATTTTTCATGCCAGCGTGATCAGAGGAGACCCTTCTCTTCGACCCTAATTTGCATATAAAAATTCACTACTTTGTACGAAAGAATTCTCAAAATGCAGGCGTTAATCGGGCTGAAAAACTTCAACAACAGTTCAAACTTCGTTCGTTTATCTTCTACGTTGAGGATTTTAGGTTTTTACAGCAACTGAGAGGAGATTAGATGCCGAGTTGTCCTAAAACGCTGCGTAAACGTGATCGGTAACATCACAAGTGATGGAAACAAATCTGTGGAAAGGAGGGTTAGTTCATCAGGTTCCGTACACTAAATCTCGGGAGAAACTGCAAGAATTGTTTCGGAGTGTATGCGTGTTGTTTTGTAAATATAAACACTGCAACCTATTTTAACTTGTTTTTGTGTCCTCTTAAGCAGCGCGATATGTCTGTTATGACCAGAGTGCCAAATTTTATTCTTTAATTTCGATCTTCTCCACACTGTGCATAGTTCATTACCTGATATTTCAACGTAAATTATCGAGAAGGCGCCTTCCGATCACCTTTGTCTACATTGTAAGTCACGCAAACGCGCTAGCGTTTACGCAACGTTTTAGGACAACTCGGCATCTAATCTCCACACAGTTGCTGTGAAAACCTAAAATCCTCAACGTAGAAGATATACGAACTAAGTTTGAACCGTTAAAAGGAGATCTTGGTCAATTCCAAGAATCATGCAAATGATCTTTGACACGAGCACAATTGAGCAAACACGTGGATTTGCGTTGTTTTTAAGAAGTTAGTGGATGGAAGCTAGAGATATACCCGCGGGTTTGAGGCAATCCGTGACCTCATTGGTGTATGAACTATGCACTGATATGCTTTTTCAGCCCGATTAACGCCTGCATTTTGAGAATTCTTTCGTACAAAGTAGTGAATTTTTGATATGCAAATTAAGGTCGAAGAGAAGGGTCTCCTCTGATCACGCTGGCATGAAAAATATTTCAGCTGAAGTTTCCATATTTTGTCCGTTAACTAACTGAATACACCTTGTAACTTGTAGCAAGATAGAATTCCGTGAGCTACATTGTTGCAGTCGCTGCGCGCTGGACAAAATCTTTGAAATTTACACTTTCGATCGCTGTTCACAGGGGTGGTCTGGCCAAAAATCATTTTTGGCTTGTTGCGACGCAAAAGAAGAGAATTGGAGAACAACTCAACTATTTTTGAAACATGTGTCCTAAACCCTTTTCATGGCCAAAAAATAAAAGAGAGCTTTTTTCCGACGGGAAGTCGAGAGGACCGCTCTTAGCGGGAGCAGCACTTAAACACTTAAAATAATTGTCTGTTAACAAATGATGTTGTCCTTTTAATTTAAATACATCTCGTTTTGTTTGCAGATGGAAATGGAAATTGAGAAACTAAAACTCGAAAAGAGGAAAGTGAGGGTGAAAAGAGACACTTTAATCTCCCTATTCATTCTAAGCAGCATATTGCAGTTTGCAGCCTTTCCCTACATCTAGGCAGTCCGGAAAACCGCAAAACACTAGAACAAAAATTTATTTTTCAAATCGGTACCCTTAATCTCCCCGGTATCAACGGACGCTTTCCGTTCAACTAATTTATTCTTGTTTCTCGTGACCATATTCCCACCAATAGCGTAGCTCCACTTTCCGTTCTGTATATAAACCCACACACAACCCACAATTCCTCCAATCGCTCTGGCGGAGGTAAACTGTTGACTGGCGATATTGTCTCTTCGGTTGCTCTGAGGTGAATAATACTTGCTAATCACTTCAAGCCACTAAGTGCACACGAAAAGCACTATTTACTTAAGAGGTTTATACTAATTTTGATGTATGTTGACATCTGTATATTTGTATGGTTTTATGAATTTGCAAATTGACACGAGTTAATTTTTTTTGTCTTTTCAAAAACTGATGAAGCTCCTTGGCGAAGACTTTTTCATCTTAACCTGTTGAGGCTGATATCACTCCCTCGTTTTACTTCTTAGAAATATGAAATTGGATAAAATTGAGCTTCAAAGAATTGCAAAGAGAACTGTTAGCGTTATTTGTTTACAGACAGAAAATTAATTTCAATGTTTTAATCACACTCAAATAAAGCGTTTGACGTTGACACACTTTCGCCATATGAGCCGGTCAAAATGCCAACCCTACAATTAAATTTTCTTTTTATTCGAAAAATGGCCATAATGCATATAAAAATCCAAATGCTTTTATCACCTGTAAGAGATTTGTAGGGGAGTGCATAATTGAAAATTGACTATTATCGAATCTTATTGAGTTCTCTTGAAAATCAATAGTTTCCAAAATTAATGTAATACATTATTTTTTCCTTTGGCTGTTAACAAAGTTTTGTTTAACAACAGAGTTTTATGATTAATTGTAAAAGGATAAAACTTAGAGGCATTTGCGTTTAACTCGTAATGAAAACTAATTCCCAAATTAAACTAATTACTCAAATAAGTAGTTGTGTCGCACACCAATGTTTACTAATAGCCCTCCGTTCATATTCTGTGACATTTAAGGATAGACAGCATTAATAAAAACAACAAAATAATTGTTTCCATTTATTGAACGTTTTAAATGCAAGGCACAACTACGACCTCCTGCCAAAAACAAATTGTAGTATTTTTTAAGCGAGGACCTTTAAAGTGAGCGTCTTTCAAAGGTAAATAACAGTCTGTATCCTAATGCTGTTTAAGAATTTGGAATGTAATAAGTTGTTTAACGAATTAAACCAGTCCTTGAATATCTATCGCTTAATTTCAGACCGCAGTTTTATAACTTGTTTTTATCATGCCTAAGTATTGGAGTATAACTGTCCTTATCAAAAGAGGATCGTTGATCGCTCAAGTGAATCGCGACAAGAAGGATCCAATCACCTGCCGTACACATAACTGTTACCTTAACACGTCATTTCATTTTTAACTTAAAAAGAAGAGAATCACAGAGTCCAAAAGGCTCACTTTGTTTCTGATAAAAAGGAGAAAATATGATGACGAATCTCTCGGAATAAAGAAGAGACCAAATGTAGAAAATAAATAACGTTAAAAAGGCTGCTCCTTTCTAACTCCTGTCACTGTTTCCGCTTCTAGCTGAGTCGGGCGCGAAACGGAAAGCAAAAAGCTGGAAGGCTTTGTTAATTACAACGTTCAACATGAATACCTTTATATATATGTTAGTATCTGTGACCAAACATTAATTTTGTATATTTTAATGTATTTGGAGATTGCCACGAGTAATTATTATTTTCTTAACCGATTGAGTTCTCTAACAAGGACTGTTTTTTATTTTTTTAGATTGCTAGAATTGCAAATTCATAGAAATTATGTTTAAACATAGATACTAATCCTGGTAATGAAATTTTATCCAAGTTACAGAGAATAATTTGTCGTGCTACGAAAAAATGCCTATTGCTTTTCTCATTTTGCCAATTTATACCCGAGGCACAAACAAAAGTTCAAATAGAAAACTTTTTAACTTAAAAGCCACTGTTTCTGCATAGTTTAAAGTACGATCTTCCCGAGAAGTTTTTATATGATCATTCCCGAGCGGCTGCTGTTAAGATATATTATCTCTCATTGCAGCCACAGGTAACCCTAAAAGAAAAAGGATCACAGAGGTATGATGGCCAGAAACAATTTAACAGGAGGTGGAGTACAAATGGAAACTTTTCAAGAACTGTTATGTTCCCCCTCTTCGGTAGGTGGATTACCAAAACAATCAAATCATCTCGCAGTGGTAAATGTGATCCTCTCTCTTACTGCAATTCTCGGGAATTCGCTAATCCTGGTTTCCCTTCGCAAAGAATGTTACCTCCATCCGCCCTCCAAACTTCTGTATCGTTGTCTGGCAACAACTGATCTTTTGGTTGGTCTTATTAGCCAGCCTCTCTTTGCTATTTATTGGATATCCATAGCTAATGAACACTGGAATCTTTGTCGATACATAAGGGACGCTACCTTAGTAACAAGCTATGCATTTTGTTGCGTATCTTTGTTTACAATGATGTCTATAAGCGTGGACAGACTTCTTGCCCTTTTGTTGGGGCTGAGATACAAACAAACTGTAACTTTAAAGCGCACAAGTATTATCTTAGCTGCCGTTTCGGTTTTATCGGGTGTGGCTGCTTTATGCTACATTTTAGATTACCGTATAACCTTATGGTTTGGGTATATCTATATTCCATCTTGTTTACTGATCTCAGTGGTCTCGTACACAAAGATATTTCGCACCCTCATTCATCATCAAGTTCAAGTTCGACTACAGTCGAGTCAACCAAATTCACTGAACATTTCGCGATACAGAAAAGCGGTGTACAGTGCATTGTGGGTGCAGTTAGCATTAGTTGTTTGTTATACACCATATATTATAGTTGAAATCGTGATTGTGGAGGGTAGTACAAAAACATTTTCATCACATTTAAGTGTCATCAGAGGAATAGCAGCAACTTTAGTTTACTCCAACTCGACGTTAAATCCGTTTCTTTATTGCTGGAAAATTAATGAAGTGAGACAAGCAGTGGAGCAGACAATCAGACAAACGCTTTGCCGTCCATGGAGTTAGATCTGCCTCGATTGAGGCATTATTTTATTTGTTGTTTCAAAGCTGACAAGACAACGCTTGTTTGTAATATAATAATAAATATAAAAGTTTACCACATTGTTGCTCGAGCTTTTGATAAAATTCTTTTTTTTTCCAATTGAGTAAATAAAACGGTGAAGAGTCGAAACAAACAGCAACCATATCTTGAGGAAACTTTGTTGCATGCGACAGTGCTTAATATGAATATCACGACTCGTGATATAAGCACGCACAGTATAGAAACAAACAGGACGTTAATAGTTCGATATTACTTCCTTGGTTTGCTTTCTTAGTAATATGAAAGTGCTGGATAAAAGTGAACTTTAAAGAATATTAAAGAAGAGCCATTGAAGTTATTAGTTTATAGACGGTAAAACAAATTCAACATTTTTAATGTTACTGAAAAAAAAGCACGACGTAACAATATCATTATCTGGGAAACTGCCCACCTACCCCTCCCCTAACTCAACAACAGTCAATTGACACCATGTTAAGGTTAATGCTGGGTTAGGGGAGGGGTATGTGGGCAGTTGCCCAGATACTGATATTGTTACGTCGCGCTTTTTTTTCAGTAACATTAAAAATGTTGAATTTTTTTACGGTCTTTGCCCTTTTGCCATACGAGCCATTCACAAATGAGAATTGGCCATCACTGATTCTTGTTGAGTTCTCTTGGAGATCGATAGTTTTTCCAAAATTAACTGATGTGACATATCATCATATTCCCTTAGCTGCCAAAAAAAAACAGGGTTTTATCGATTATTGTGGAATAATAAAACTAAGCATGTTTCACTCTTAATGCAAATTCATCTCTAAATTAAACTTTACTGGTGAAGACAAACACGTAATTTAGCCGCGCATTAATGTTTAATAACAGACTTCGGGCTATATTCTGTGACATTTGAGGAAAACAGCGAGAATGAAATGCCACAGAATTAGCATTTGCCAGGTAACGTTTTTTGTCTATCTAGTAATATAAATGCAAGACACAACCATGAACTCCTGGCAAGAAAAATGTACAAGTTTTTTGCATAAGAAACTTTCAAGCAGGTATTTCTTACAACAGAGCGCAAGGCTTAATAAAAACGCCGTTAACAAAGTTGAAGCCAAATATGATGTTGAACGAGTTTTGCTATATCTTAACTTTCCATTGGATACACCTAGCCGTAGAGAATATATTGTCTTTTTTATACTTTAATATTGCAATATACAACTGTCCTCATCAAAAGAGAATTTTTAATTTCACACATCACCCGCAACAAAAGAGAACTTGATATGTTTTTATCAATTAGACATCTGAAAGAAACTGATATCAGTGAGTCCAAAAGGCCAACATTTGCCTCTGATAAAAGCACAAAAGGGTTTTGTAGCGTAGTATCTTCCTCCTGACACACGTTCTCCTTCATAGCTCAAATATTCAACAACTATCACCAAAGTGGAGGTGAATAAACAAAGCATGACCTTCATTGGGCGCTAAAATACATACGGATATTTGTATGCAGACACAATCAGTTCCGAGGAGCGAACAGTTTTTCGAGAGCGACCCTCGAGGAAAACTTTGAGCCTCGAGAAACAGATAATACATGAGGATAATTTCACCCCAAATGGAGGCTACTGTGTTTATTGTCCTTCGCACTCTTTTTTTTTAACGCGCGGGATTGCTGCGTGAAAAGTTTATTTTTCGGTGTTCGCTAGCACAATTTTATTCAACAAACATATTCCTTCTTCTGTAACAATAACTAAACGCTCTTTTATCTTGAATTTAATATTAAACGAACGCTTGTATTGTTGTGGACTTGAGGCTTAAAAATTCTTGAATATCACTTGGGATATATATTAATATATATGTTGACATCTGTAAAATTTGTATGGTTTTATCTATTTGGAAATTGTCACGAGTTAATTTTTTTTCTTTTGAAAAACCGGTTAAGATCTTTGGCGAGGACTTTTTCATTTTAGCCTGCTGAGGCTTATATCACTCTTTTTACTTTCTTAGAAATATGAAAGTGGATGATAAAATTGAGCTTCAAACAGGTGCAAAGGAGAACTGTTATTATCGGATCTTATTGAGTTCTCGTGAAAATCAATATTATAACATAGCGCGCGTACTTGCCCTATATAAGCCCTATTGAGCCGCTATGAACAAAATCTTTATTTACGCACGGGTGTGCGTAAATAAGATAACGTGAGCAATGCAATGTTCGCAGCCAACCTGAGTCTTCTGCTCAGCCATAACTGTACGTCAAAATAACAGTGTGGTGGTTGCCCAGGAGAAAACTGCAAGTTTCCTGCAGTCTGTCTTTTCCAATTGTACCGTGCACGGCAGCGTAAACATTATTTTGAACAATCAAAACCCTTGATAACTTGGGGTCTTTGACTTTTAAAACATTTTTTAGTGTCAGTTGATTTAATTTGGCTTTGATTTTCTTCATTTTCCCCGTTCATTCACTGTTGTCGGTTGACTGGCTCAAATGTTCTCGCTCAAACCAAAGTATAAAATGTGGCGTGTTTTTGACCAGCCAAATAGCGACGTTTGTTTACTTTTTTTTTTTGTGCGTTGTGAGAATTTTGCTCTCTATGACAATAAAAGGCTTCTTCGTGCAGTTGTCCCTCTGTTATAAAAGAATTTGCTCATGCTTTTAGCTGTGCGTATATCGAGTTATGGATGCACTTGGGAAGTTTAGAGAGCGCTCAAAAAGCTAGAGTTGCATTTTTCGTGCTCTCCAAACTTCCCGCGTGCATCCATAACTCGATATACTCACGCTAAGCATGGGCAAATTCTTAAGTTTTCCGAAATTAATGCAACACATTATTATTTCCTTTGGCTGCAAATAATTATTTTGCTTTATCATTAATTGTAATAGGATGAAACTTAGATATATTTGCGTTTGACTCGCAATGAAGAGTCATTCCTAAATTAAACTCATCACACAAATAAGTAGCTGTGTTTACTAACAGACTTCCGTTCATATTCTGTGAAGTTCAAAGGTAGACAGTAAGAATGAAGTACCAAAATAATTGTTCCATTTATTGAACGTTTTAAACGCAAGGCACAACCAAAAGCAAAGTGTAGTATTTGTTGGACGAGGACCTTCCGAGTGAGCGTCTCTAAAAGGTAATTAAAAGTCTCTATCCAAGCAAGTCCAATAGGCTTACTTTTTTTCCAACTGAAAGGGAAAATTGGATAACGAATGCCTTGGTGTTAGGCAGAAAGCGACTGAAAGGAATTGGTAAGGTGACAAAAACAGAAAATGTTTTGATGGTGCAAAATCCTGCTCCTCCCACTGTTTTCATTTCTAGCTGAGTCGGGCGCGAAACGGAAAATAAAAACCTGTAAGGCTTTGTTAACTACAAAGTTGAACATGAATATCTTGGTATTGTTACGGGAAAATTTAGTGATTTTTCTGTGTGATTGTTTGGAGCATTTTTATTACTTTTCAATATTTCAGCCGTTCTCAATTCATTAAAGTTTCCTTTACTGTGATGTTTTAAAAAAGATAAAAGCCAACAGTGAAATATTTCAACAACTTACTTGTAGATATCACTTTGTTCTCGCTGCCTTTATGCCCCTGAACATTGTTCCTTTTGTGATCTTATTCTTAGTGGACATTGTTAAGTAAACATTCCTTGCAGTGACCTTTCCTGGCAACTTTGCAGGAATGTTTTCAGCTGAACCTATGTCCGTAAATTAGTGCTTTTCATACGATAATTTTTCGGGTTGCTGCTTGTTTAAACTTAACACCAACATCGGATAAATAAACATTAATTATAACTAGCTTCTCACTTTTACTTGTTAAGATATATATTTTTAATTTTGAAGCTGTAAGTTCAATCTCCTTTTTCTTAATTAATATCTATAACTTCAAGAGACATTTTCCGCTTCTTTTGTGATACTATTTAAATATTAGAGAAAGATGGTTTTCGTCTTGTCACGAGCGTGGGACAAAGAAAAATTCTGAGTCCCCATGAGGAATCGAGCCTCAGACCGTCGGATTCCGCGCTCCGATGCTCTTCCACTGAGCTACAGAGACTCCACGGTGAGCGAGGTCTATTACGAAGTTCACATGACACGCGTCCTGCATACTGCCAGGATCAGCAATTTCGATAGCGTCATGTTTTTAAATAGAATAAGAGAGATGGTAAGTTTTGAGCTCGATAAAGAAATGCTATCGGCATTTCGTTCCCCGCAAAAGTCCAGTTCGTGCGAAAAACCTATGTCACAATGGTGGTTGCGCCGGGCACTTCTTGGAGCTTCCAGGACGTTATCAAAGTTCAAGAGAACGACAAAATTCAGTTCCACGCAAGAGGTGTGATCTAACCCTTGAAAGCCAGCGAAAAAAGGGCCGCTCGAGTAACGTGAGTACGTCAAATTTCCTTTTGTCCATTTATGAAGTCCGTGAAGAAAGGAAGTCAGTCTTTCTAGACGTCACAATTAAGACGATGAAGGTAATCCGTAAATCCGTAATTCCGAGAATCTAGGATCAACGGAGAAAGAAAATCAAGAGCTCGTGGTTGACCTGTCCAGTTAATTAATTCACCAGCGGATCTTTACGAATTGGTGCGAAATGAAGAACGTATACAAAACCAAAACAAATATACAAACACAAAAATGATTTTGTAACGAGTCAAGTTTGGGCAGCGACTCTGAGGAAGAACTACGCGAGGCAGCAGCAGAAATTGGTGAAGAATTTTGTCCCGACAACGCCGTTGCAAACAAAAGTGTGCTCGATCGACCAGCTTATAGCGAATTCGAGCATAGCAACACTTTGAGCGACGGAAAATAAACATTAGACACGATATGCAAGTGAACTCTGACGAAATGAGTGATTTTTGAAGACAGTCATGGATATCCAGTAACAAACGTGTAGACAATTCCAAGCAGCAATGGAAGGGGCAGCTATACCCGAACCGGCTTTGGCGAGGCCGATCCTGTTCCATGGCTACGAAAATGAGAATGTAGATCGATGGCTAAAGCGGTTCAA